GCCGCCCCGCCGGAGCCGCGGCGCGCGCCCCGCAGCCGCCCCTCAGGCAGGCCCGGCAGCTGGGCCTGGCGCCCCTGCTAGGTCTCCACCCTCACCTTGGCCGCCTCCTCCCCTCCACATTCGCCCTTCATCCATCCCTCTCTCCTGCAGTGCTTGCGCTCCAGGCCCGAAAGAAAAGGACCAAGGCCAAGAAGGACAAAGCCCAAAGGAAGTGAGTCTTGTACCCCAGCATCCCATTCTTTGGGTTTCCTCCGGCACCTTCTCTGCTCTGGTTTCGTGTCTTGAACGAACGCGCATCGGGGTTGGGCGCCCTGCGGCCCCAGCCACATGGTCTCCCGGCGGCTCGGAGGTGGCTCTCCAGGAACCATGTGGAGGGGACCTTCTATGCCGAACGCCAGGCCTGGTCATAGCAGCCCCGGGCCTGTCGGAAAGGGCTGCAGGAGAATCGGCCTGGCCAGTACCTTTCCTCCGCACTCCACAGAGGGGCACACGTCCCCGCGTCGGGAGCCCTCGCCGGAGTTGGTAGATGATTATTTGTGTGTGTGAACTCTGGCCGCTCCTGCTTCCCTGCTTCCCAGCGTCTTACCTTGCCTCTCAAGTCTGCACGGTAGGCCTCCAGGAAATTCTTGAATGGATTTTCCCTGTTTACTTTGGGTCGTGCCAACCACACGCTCCCTTTCACACAGTGGGGCATGGAGCTTCTGCTGGGTTTGTCAACTTCCTCTGTGTGGCGGCAGCCTGCTGTGCATGGTACCTGTTAGTGCTGCTTTTCTGTCTACACCGCAAGTCCTCACACTGAATGCAGATAACCTTCTGGAGTGGGCGTCACAGTAGTGACGGTAGAGTTCTTCGACTAACGTTGGTGATTTGGGTTTGGTGGATTCGGTGCCATACGTCCAATTTTATCAGCAGGATGCACAACCGGTTTAGCGCTGTTGTGAGAAACACACAAGTTGGTCTCTAGTCTCAGCGCCAGCAGAGGGCTTCTGCCAGTGCGTCTTGTCCTCAGGAACTTTCATCTTCACATTTAATTGCAGAAAGTCTTGGAAATCAGCTCTTACCGATTTGTATTCAGGAAAACATTCTTCTACTCTTCATTTTAGATGCATAATTCTTTACATTTACTTGATGATTCATCATGTTGTATAAGGTCCAATTCTCTCTATGCAGATAGAACAAATTTCCGAGGCCTTCCTAGGTCACCCTGCTGAATGACAATACCAGATAGGTGTGTGTCTGTGTGGTGAGTGTACATAATGACCTCTCTTTCAGTAGAACTGAAGTGGTAGGTGACCTCACCTCTTGCTCCATTTTCCACTGTCTTATGAAATGTTTTTGTTTTGTTAAGTGGCTGGTGACCAAGGCATGTACATGTGTTTGTGCATGAGTGTATTTATTTCTTGACTATATTTATGAGGGGGAAGTTCCCCAAAAGTTTATGGAAAATGCATTTTATGAAAAAATTATTCATGGATTTCAAAATTTTTTGTGCTAAAAAATCATTGGTTTGTTGCTAAATAAACTCACATTTCAACCATTTATTTCCATCAAGTTTTTGAAGTCCCCTTTATATGGCAAAACCAGTTTTTAATCCTAGATTTGCTTTAATGGAAGCTGCAAAGAACTAACCAGGTTCTAGTATTCAGTAGGAATTTAAATGTTACTTTTTTTTCCTGTGCTTTAGCATCCTTATTCCTTGTGGAACTGATATGAATGTTCCATTATTCCACTTTATTTTCATTAAAGTGAGGAGGTGGTGATTTTATTGTTCACGGTAATTTTGAAGTCTTGTCCTCTCAGACCACCTGCCCTTACCACTTGGAAAATAATCTTTTTTTTTTTAAGATTTCATTTAAGTTAATTAATTTATTTGTTTAATTTAACCAGAGAGGGACAAAGTGAGAGAGAAAGAAAGCCACCAGGTCTGGGACTTGAACCCCATTCAGCCATGTGGGAGTCTAGCACCCATAATCACCATTGTGCCAGCCCTGGAAATTAATCTTGATATTAAGCTTTAATCCAGGTATAATTTGGGAGGTTAAAAAGTCTGTAGATTGATTTTTTTTAACACCAGTAGATATTCATTAGTTTGTATTATTAATTCAGACTATATGCTTTTTTTTTTTTTTTAAGAGGTTTTTGCTACAGGGCGCATGTGCTCGCCAGACAGAGAGAGACAGAAAGCGAGAAATCACCCCCCCCCAGGAAGGATAGCCATGCCGCAATCCCTTCTCCTCCATTCTCCTCTTGGGATCTTGGGCACGCACGCACATGTGCCCGGCATGAATTTTAAGCCACCGGGTACAGGACACAAACCGCTGTCGACTACCTGGGAGTCCAGCGACATAGCCATTACACTAACTGCTGGTCCTTGTATGCTTTATTCCTAAAACCAGATGTATGTACTTTCTTCCATTCACTAGGATGAGTAACCTAGAATTCTTTGTGTTCTCAATTACTTGCACTGCATGTTGCACAAGTATAAATTACAGATAACCTAGCAGTTATTTTCCTGAATGTTTCATCTTGTACAACTTTGACTCTAGAAAATTTATATGTATGATTCTGTCCCCACTTGTAATTTGAGGCAGTTTGTTTAAAATACCACACAGCCATTTTTTAAATTTTAGAATTATTGATTAAATTTTATTTATTATTGTTATTTTTAAGTTTGACCAAAGACAGAAAGTGAGAAAGCAAACTACCAGGTCCAGGACTCGAACTGCAGTCAGCTATAGGGAATAGTGCTTCAACTACCATGCCACCTGCTGGCCCCCAGTTTGTTTTTTTCAATTAATAGTTTTTCTTTTATTATTTTACCCACCTACTTTCCTGTTTTCTTCTTTTTCCTTTTTTCTCCAGCTTCTTTTTAAGTAGCTGAAATGGTTAATGAATTAAGTTGGTTAGAGTACTATATCAGAATTTCAAGCTCCCCTGTAGTCAATTAATTTGACATTGTTCCTGACCACTTGCAATTGTGCAAAAGCAGGCTGCTAATTACCAGGAGATTAGTCAGAAGGTTTGAGAAAGAAGTATACTATAGAGTTTGATCTTTGGAGACAGATCTGTCTTTTTTTTTTTTTTTTTTTTAACCAAGAGACTTATTTGTTTAAATTTATTTATTTATTTTCTCTTAAGAGAGATTTTTTTGCTACAGGGCATGTGCATTTGCCAGAGGGACAGAGAGAGACAAACCAAAAGTGAGAAATCATCCTCCTGCCCCGCCCCCCCAGGATGATCATGGTATAATCCCTTCTCCTCCATTCTTCTCTCAGGATTTTCTCACATGTGCCCTGCATGAGTTTTAAGTTGCCAGGTCCAGGACTTGGACCATGGTCAACTCCTTGGGAGTCCAGGGACGTAACCATTAAGCCATCTGCTGGTCCCTTTACTGTTATTTTAAAATTTGCTATAGGACATGTGTGCTCACCAGAGAGCAAGTGAGCAAGAGAGAGAAAGAAAGTAAGAAAGCAAGCCAGGGCTTGAACCACTGTTGGTCATGTGGGAGTCCAACACCTTAACCACCATGCCACCTGCTGGTCCTGACAGATCTGCTTTGATTTCTGATTTTGCTACTCTTTAGCAGTCTAACTTTGGACAAGTTATTTAATGAAATGCCTTATCTATTGTTACGACTTCCAGCTCAGTCATGATGGAAAATGATTCAAACCTAGAGGAGCAAAAACCAAGCATTTAAATTAAAAATTTTAGAAACTTTTGGAAGTGTAACAGTAAATTATATCCCTAGTAATTTAGCCATACTGACAAGAGAAAAGGGTTTTCAGCCCCTAATCTTGTAGATCTTAAAACTAGAACTCACAGACTAAAAATAATGTGCCCAGAATCATGGAGTAGAACCAGAACTGGAATCCAGAGCTCCTGCTTTCCAGCCGAGCCCTTATCTTTAAGGTGACTTTCCTTTGGGGTCTTTCACTCCACTGAAGGGTTTGACTGGGGATTTTTAGTTACTTTATGTTGATAGTTCCTTGTCTTTTATTTTTCAAATACTGTTTCATTTACTAACATAACTACTTGGTGATAATGTCCATTTTACCTAACAGGGATTTTCCTAGGAAATTATAAAGCTGGGATTGAAACTCAGGTCTGACATATAACAGCACCCTCGCTGGTTGTCAGTTTCTCAGTAACAGTACCTTTTGGTGTATCTGAGGACAAATAAGGTAGAAGCTGTGTGAAGAAAAGCTTCTGAATGAGGGACTTAGGAATGCCTGGGTGTTTGTACCCTTTCATAATCTACTATGTCTCTGAAAGAGCCCAGTGCTCTGCCTTTGAGTATTTTGTTTTCTAGTTGTATACTAATAACTGTGTATCTTTATCTGTTTGTCATAAGCTTTTATAATTTAACAGTTTATGCTGCCTTTTGAAATTATTCCTATGGAACATAATTCCAGAATAATCTCCAGAACGGCAAAGTCATTTTATTACTTAGCTTAGGAAGTTAGTTTGGAGGGTAATTTTCACTATATTTGCCATTAAATAACTTTATGAGTTTAATATAAATGCAGTAGTAAAATTATTTAATTGAACTAGGAAAGTACTTTGGCTCATTTTAGCATTCAGAGGAAGATGGAATCAGGGGAATATGGTGGTTTTATTTATTAATTTTCCAAAAATGTAGATTGTTATATTGAAATTTTACAAGGGAAGATAGATACTTAAATATTGTAGCATTTTTATCTGGTAGGAAGTAGAACCAGTAAACTTGAAATAGGCTTTGAAAATTAGATCATATTGGATGCTTTTAACACTTAACAGTATGCCTTGAAAATTGGTTCTATATCAATTCCACATAGTGCAGCCTTCCTATTTTCTTAAGATCTTTTTTACTAAGTCTTGGAAATGATTCTGTATCAAAACACAAAGGGTAACCTCATCTAAGATACTATTAAATGGATGTACCGTAATTCATCTTAGTTCTGTTAACAAGCATGTATAGGTTGAGTATCCCTAATACGAAAAAGTATTTCAGACTTCGGATATTTTTCAGATTTTAGACCATTTACACATATGCATTACGAGATGTTATGGGGATGGGACCCAAGTATAAACATGAACTTCATAGTGTTTCATGAACATCTTATCCACTTAAGCCTGAAGGTAATTTTTAACAGTATTTTTGTATGACAACATTTGGTGGCAACTCTTCACATGAGGTTGGGTATGAAATTTTCCAGTGTGGCATTATATCAG